CCCCACTGACTTCCTCTTTACTTAACCTCAGCATCAGTCCATACTCTATCACAGCCAGGCAGTGGATTAGCTGAGTCCCCGCAATGTATTATACACTGAATTATGTTTTAAAGGGCAAGCACACACAGGAGTAGATCCAGAGTCCTGAGCAAACAACCAGCTCAATACTGACGAAGGCTTCTGTCAAAACACTGTGTTACTATGCAGGCTACTTTCTGTACGATGAACTAGTTTCAACACCACCTCGTTGTGGGGTAATTTACTGCTGCAGTTGCTTGGCTGCTAATCACACTTATGCACCATCTCGGATTGGGTGTGACGGTATTTTTGGCCACATTAAACATTTGACAATAACTCTCTGGTAGCTTACTTCAACAAATATACAGTTCTTTATTTCCTTTTTGCAGGAAGTTAATGATTCCATCTCTAATGTATATTTTATATTTCTGTGAAATCATCGCCTTCATAGAACTGTCTTTATTCAAGATTACATTTGAGCACATCACGATAACATTATATTTGACATGGCTAAACGCTTTTTTTAACTGAAAAGCACTTGTGTTGTTTACATTATAGATTTAACAGTGAAAACAATTCAGATTGAAATGCACCCATAGTGAGTCCAGCTCATCCTTTCTGATTTGCTATGCCCTGACGGAACGCTGTTACTCGCATTTCTTACATGTAAGCATTGACTTGGAGCCAAAGTATCAGTTCTTGTGCACACAGCCAATCATCTTTGAAAACCATGCTGCTCAGCTTTAAACATTTCCAGCATCTTCTACTATTTCAGACATCCATTGGTTGGTATGAAAATCAGCCGACTCTTGAGTCCAGAGTCTCAGATTTCATAACAGCGAGTCTCTTAAATGTTCCTGTTTACCTCTTGTAAACACACTTAAGTAAACATTCAATCTCAATGATCGTTGTCTGTAACCTTGAAGCCTGAGACACGCTCAATATTCTTTCTTTACATATTTTCATGTTTTACTTCCATGAATCAGCTTGTCTTTTCTCTGGTGCTTTGTTTTCTGATTGCTTGTTTGTTTGGGAAGTAATCTCCACTTAATGTCCATAATGTATTTCATGACCCGCCTGTTCATGTTGGCACATGTGCATCTTCCTTGGCTGCTAGAACACCACATTTAAAATAAACTGGGAACTTGATGGATTACAAAACTCAAGTTTGACGAGTCGACTAAGTGCTTCTCATACTGTCCAGAAAAAAATGGAAACCAATCAGCGCTCGGAAAGCTTACAGAAACCCCAAACTGTAGAGCATGCATTACAAATAAGTTGCATAGTCTCACAATAATAATAATAATAATAATAACAATGATAGATTACATTGGTGTAGCGCCTTTCAAGGGACCCAAGGCCGCTTTACATGGTCAACAAACAAACAAACAAACAAACAAACAAAAAGCAGGGGGACTGTGATGGGTTAGGGGTCAAAGAAAAAGTAGTTGATTTGAAAGACACAGGCTGCTGTTAAGATATCACACATGGAAAGTGACTAGTGGTTCTTATAAAGGGATTGAAAGCAGCATGACGGGTGTTTGGGAACATCAGCTCAGAGACGTAGATCCGCAGGGGACAGGGAGGAATGCTGGGAGCCGGGGGGGCGGGTGTTCGGGGGGGCATTGGGCATATCTGAGCTGCTCCCAGCCGAGCCGTGATGAATGGGCTCGGGGGATAACAGCGACATGCCAGCAGCTGGGGCCCCGTAAGGTGATCGCTCCC